GCAGCTCGGAGCCACTCTCCCGAAGCCCAGAACTCGAGCCCAGAAGCGAATGCTCCCCGCGCTCGCTCTCCGGTGCCCAGGCCCCGCTGCCCCCCAGAAGGGCTTACAGGCCAGGACACCAGCTGGCAGCCGTCGCCAGGAAGTCCTCAGCTGGAACGCCTTGTTCACGAGCAGCTCAAATTCTGATCTTGCGTCACAATTGTTCATAACAACCCAGCGCAATCCCTTCCTCAGGGCATGGTGGGTCCCCCTCTGACCGTGGGTCCCCCCCGACTGTGGGTCCCCTTCTGACCCTGGGTCCCCCCTCTACTGGGGGTCCCCCGTCTGCAGCCAGTAGCCTTTCCCAGACTCGGGCCCTCGTAATGAGCAATCTTTCATCGTGCCCTTTATTGGCATATGTTACTCCCAGCCTTTGCTTGATGCTTATTCTATTCCAGTGGGAAAAGGAATCCCGAGCGTGTTCGTCATGAAGTCTGTTTTATCAACAACCCGCCCCGGTGGGCTTTCCTGTCCTCGGAAGGACACAGTGCCGGCTCCTCCGCGCAGGTTCCCGCCAGCCTCACCCTCTGTCTCGTTTCCACCTGGCCCCGGAGGGGACAGGTCACTTTTAGGTGGTGACCGGAGTTCTCCTCCTTCCCCACCAGGTCTGCTGAGACTCACAGGAACCGATTTTCTTTTTCAGATTTGGAGGTTTTGTTGGAGGACGAACAGAAACCCAGTCAGTGGTTAAAACACACGTGGAGGGCTCCGGGATCTCGATTACAGGCACAGGAGTGAGTGGAAACTTGCCCGGAAGCCTGAGATGCTGAACCCCTTTGTGCAAACAGCCCCAGCCATGGCCTGTCCGGGGTTGAGGGCAGCGTGCAGAGTCCGTGGCGAGCCCGGGTGCTGGGCTGCCAGGCAGCAGCCGGGCCACGTGGGAGAGCCCACGCCTTCCCCGGGTGGTGGGCTCCACGGCCCTCCTGCCCGACACGCCCCTGACACCGTGCGGCAGAGTCCGGGGGCCCCTACACAGACTGCATTCGACCCTAAATGCGCCCTGCGTGGTCAGCACGGCCCTGAGACATCTGACGGGGCTGTGGCTCTGCCGTGATCGCTGCGCCTCACCTACAGCTAAGTGAGAAAAGCCACTACATCCCAGGTTTGCGATCCATTCCCCACCCTTGCTTTTCTAGGAAGTGACTTTTTTAAAAAGTAACTTTTCCGCCCCCTAAAGACTACAGTGTGGCTCTAGCCTCTTGCTCTTGGAGTCTGGAGTGACATCTAATCAGGGACTTCTGCACCCCGGCCAGAGTCGGGCCACCGGCCTCCTTTTGGCCAGGTAGAGGCTGGCCTCCGTGGATCTCGTCGCTCTTTGCCAGCGGGGGCCTCGCAGGGCAGGGGGTGGGGCCACCGAGGACAGAGCCTGATGTTTGCGGTTAAATGGGCTCTGCTGGCTCTCAGTCCTCCAGAGCCTGGGGATTCCTGATCCTGAAACCCCTCCCTGGTGGCCTTTGCCACGTGTTGTATCTGCCCTATCACACCTCTGGGATCGGCCACTTCTCTTTCTAAGGACTCCCCCACCAGCCTTGCCCCACCCCTGCCGCCAGACCCCCATAGCTTCCTCCGGCCTCAGCCCAGGCCGCACCCAGCCCTGTTTCCCAGCACCCCTTGCAGCAGAGCCGTGTCCAGAGTGCACGTCCTTGGGTGGGGAGGCCCCTGCAGGGAGGGGGATGGGCTCTAAGGAAGGCAGGGGCCTGGGGGGCGCTGGGATGCCCCGCTCCCCAGTCAGCCTCCCTTGCCGGCTGCATTGTGGACTACGGCCCGACCCCAGTCCCCACCGTTAGAGACTGGCTAAGAGTGGGGCCACGGAAGGGTGACACGGTGCCAGGGCCAGTGCCTGTGTAGCGGGTGAGCCGGCAGGGCGGGACCCTGGCCGGCGCAGGGTCAGGGTCAGGGCCGGGACTCACCGCTGGGTCTGCTCCGTGGTAGGTGCTCCCTGGAGAGGAGTGAACACGGGTGTCCGTGCCACATGGAGCCGGGACCCAGGCCGGTGAGCGCTGTGCTGCCCCCGCACCCCGCAAGTGCATCTGGACCTCAGCCGGACTGCGGACCCCCATCCGGGCCCCTCTCCCCTCTCCTCACTTGCTCCCTGGCCCCTGTCTGCTGTCTCCCTCTTCTGCTCCTCCTCTTGGCCGCTGGATTGGGCTGAATGGTGTCCCCCCCCCGCCCCAGTTTTAGTCGAGTGGAGGTCAGCCTGGGTCGGGGTGTGGTGCTCTGGGGGAGACAGACGCAGGGAGCAGCAGAGACGGGGCACAGCTCACCCAGGAATGGCTGTGAGCCACCGGCAGCTGGAGGGGGCGTTGAGGGTCCTCCCTCTGAGCACCCACAGGACCGGCCCGCCAGCACCTTCCTCTTGGGCTGCGGCCTCCAGATGGGTAAGAATAAGTCCTAAGCCGCCAGGCCCCTGGCACAGCCTCTGCCTGGCCCTCGCCATCTGGGCCCCGAAGCTCCTGGGTTTGTATTTTGCCAAATCCTGGCGTTTGCTCGTTACCTTCTGGTCACTCTCTGGGCTCAAGGACAGCGTGAGGGAGCGACTCAGCCCGGATCCAAGGGCCCGAGTCTTCGCCGTCCCCTTGTGCCCACCACGGGTCCGTTCTTGGCCACACTTTGGACCACACCTGTGGCATCTACACTCTCTGAGAAACTACGCTGTGCGGGCACCTCGAGTGCAGATCCACGGGGCCCTTTGGGCGACCCCCCTCACAGCCTAGGAGCCGCCACTCTGATGGGACAGGTGTCCTCTGCCTTCCTGGTGGCACGTGCCCCGACAGACCTGGGGTCGTGGGGGGCGGGCAGGGAGATGAATCACACTCTCCCAGGGGACAGGTGCAGCCCTGAGCTCAGGCCAAGACCCTGAGAGGGGATGGGGGGGGGGGGGGGACAGTGGGAGGGAGGATGAGGGGGGAAGTCAGAGGGAGGACGAGGGGGGAGGGAGCACAGTGGGGGAGGACAGTAGGGGAGAACAATGGGGGGAGGACAGTGGGGGAGGGAGCACAGCGGGGTGGATGGGGGGAGGGAAGGTAGTGGGGAAGGGAGGGCAGGGGGCAGGAACACAGTAGGCAGGAGGACGGGGAGGGAGCACACAGGAGGGAAGGAGGGCCCTGGACCGGTCTCGGCTTGCACACCCCAGGGCCCAGATCAGGGTGCAGGGCCTTTGCTGCAGTGTCCAGCCCGGCCCGGTCGTACAGGGAGCTGGCTGGCAGGATGTGACAGGACACCCGCACGTCAGAGCTTCTGTTCGTGCATGTTATGGGGGCCCAGGGTCCTCCCCAGCACCTCCCAGCAGGGACCGTGGCAGGAGAAGCCCCCCCCAGCTCAGCTTCTGGACACGGAAGGCAGGCTGACAGCACGGGAGGCCCCTGGATTGTCAGCCTACAGCACCTCCGGGCCCTGGGGCTCGGAATCCAGCCCCCCGTGTCGGGAGCTGGACTGCCCCTGCCCCCCCTCACAGTTGCCCCCAGCTGCCTGCCTCGCCCCGGTTCCGGCAGGACCCCCCTGGATTCACCGAGAGGGGGGACCCTCACTGGGGGAGTGGGAGTGAGCAGACCCGATGCCGGGGAAGGAGGGGGCTGGGGCGGGCTGTGCCAGGGCCAGAGAACGCTCAGGAATGCAGCGGCGGCCCGCGGGCTGGGGTGTGGGTCCTGACGGGCCAGGGGCCGTCAGGGTGGACTCCTTCTCTGAGGACAGAATTATCTCAGATTAAATCAGGAGAGCCGCCTTCTGTTTGGGAAAGCTGGACGTGGAGGGGGGTGAAAACCAGATGTGCGGCTGGGGGTTCCTCAGCACTGCCCGGAGTCAGCCTGCTGGCTTCTGCCCCTGACCAGCTCCTGGGGCCTTCTCTCGAGGAGTCCGGGCCTGAACGGCCATTCCAAAGCCACGGCTGCCCTCCCCCGGGTCGAACAGAATGGCCGTAGTGGCCACGGTCAGTCGTAGGAAGCATCCGAGCGGCAGGGGCCCGTTCGCAGAGCCTAGTTCCAGCCTCCTTGCCTCACAGGAGGGGAAACGGAGGTGCAGGGAGAAGTGACGTGCTCAGGTCACACAGAGAGCTGACCCTGCTCTGTCCCCTGCCCTAGTGATGGGCCACGCTGTTTGCTGGCCTTGGCTCCGCCTCCCCATGGGTTTCACCGCACCTGCTATGCACAGGTGGGCAGCGTCGCGGGATTCCCGAAGGCTCGCGTGTCCGGCGGGGCCTCTGCCCACAGCACCGCCAGGCACCCACCGGCCAGGCTCCGAGAGCAACGGGACGGGCAGCTTCCGGGCCCCGCACGGAGGGTCAGACAGGCAGGGGGCTGAGCTGAGTGGGAAGGAGGCCCCCAACCCTGAGTGAGGGCGTTCCCCAGCCTGGACCTGTTAACCGGGAACCCCTCACCTATGCCACAGCCAGCCGTGGGCAGGGTCCCCAGCGCGGATGGGGACAGGAAGCGCCCCCCCCCCCCCCGCCTCCCACAGGAAGGCAACGACAGAGGGCACAGGTTCTGACTCTCGGGCCACTGGCCTCTAACGTGGCTACTTCTCTGTGCTGGGCCGTCCCGTGTGCCCCTACACATTAAAGGTCAGTGGCAACCCCAGGTGTGACAACCAAAACTGCCACCAGACCGTGTCCAGCGTCCCCTGGGAGACAGACCTTTCCTGGGTGAAAACCAATGGGACAGGGGCAGGATCCCTAGGCTGGCAGTAAGGTTTTTTTTGTTTTAATGTTTATTTTTGAGAGAGAGAGATTGCAAATGGGGGAGGGGCAGAGAGAGAGGGAGACACAGAATCCGAAGCAGGCTCCAGGCTCTGAGCCCGACACCGGGCGCGGGGCTCGAACCCATGGACCGCGAGATCATGGCCCGAGCCGAAGTCAGATGCCTACCCGGCTGAGCCCTGCGGGCACCCCTGAGGCCAACAGTAAAGACGAGCCGAGCTGAGTGTGCAGGTGACTGTCACGCTGACCAAAGCCACTGGACACAGACACCACTTTCCCTCTTGTTATTCTTATAAATCAGGTTTCCAGAAACAGACGTAAAAACGCTGGCCTTCGGCCTGTCCACAGTGCAGCGTAAGGAGTGGACAGTGACGTCCAGGCCGAAGGGCAAGGGGTCACTGTGCACCCTCCCAGGCCCGAGGGAGTGGGGGGGGCCCTGCTGGCATCCCTTGGGAGCCCCGGGTCCAGGCACACCCACAAACAGGCAGTGGTGGGAGAGCGGCTGGGGGTCTGGGCAGCTGCCCCCCCCCCAGGGAGAAGCCCGCTCGGACAGGGGAGCGCTGGAAACAGACCCCGTTCCGTCCCGTCTGGGTGGGCGCCCAGTGACCAGGGTCTGCTGTGGACGGGCGGGCTGCAGGAGGTGCGGGACCCTCAGCCTAGACTCGGGGGGCCCCGGGGAGGGCGGCTGTGCCGGCACCCCTGCCCGAGGCCATAGGCGGGCTCCACAGCCCCTGCCTGCACCCAAATGGTCCTTCTGCTTTTTGCTCCGGATGCCAGTCGGCGACCTTCTCGTCCCCCTTTGGGAACACGCCTCTCCTGATGCTTCCGGGTAAAGTCTGGGTGCAGTCCGCGGCACGCCGTGACAGCCAGGCAAGGAGTTTTGGGTACAAACACAGAGAACACTTCTTGCAACGGATTGGGCTCAGCATTCCACTGAGCCTGGTCCCTGTTTTTGCCATCACGCCCGCCACCAGTGCCGAATGACCGCAGGCGGGACACCGCCTTTCCCGGGGGCATGCACACCAGGATTAGTGGGCAGCCGGCTGTGCAGAACCTTCCAGAAACGTCAGCTGCTAGATTCAGTGGGGGCAACAACATGGAAGCCACGCGGCGAGGGTCGAGGCCATGGGCCGCACACCCCTGGGTGGACTTGGGCCACCGCGCCTCTCCTGTCCCCTGCTGGGCCTCGTGGGCTCCACGGCAGCCGTGCAGGTCCCGGGGGAAGCCGGGGGGGACAGGTGCGGAGGGTGGCATGGAATTAGTGCCACATTTTGAACGGCTGCCACTCTGCGGGGAAAGCGCCCCCTCCGTGCACGTCACGGCACCAAGTTGAAGGACCTCGATGGCCACGCGGTGAAGCCCGTGTCCACTGGAAACACGGGTCCCCAGTCCTGCCTGAGCAAGTGTCTGTGTTCTGCTCTTTCCCCTGCTTCTGTCACGACGGCCCCAGCAGCACATCGTCTTCTTGAAAAAACTCCACTGTGCCTTTTTAGGAGGGACATCCAGCTTTCGACTAAAACAAACGAGGTCAGGTTTTCTCCCCGGTGAAGATCCCAGAGGAAAAGGAGCTCCCAGGGACCTTCCGGTGTTGACCGGTTCCTGCATTCTGGACACGCTCACACATGCACAGACACACGTACTCACACACACACACAAGCACACGCAGCTCAGAGTGCAGGAGGGGAGGGGGCCCCGCACGTGCGCCTCTCACAACAGCCCTGAGTGACCTCCAGCCAGCAGGAGAGGTCCTGGAGGAGACCCAGCTCGCCTCACTCCTTCCTAAAGAAGCCGCCCTTCCTCTGGTCTCAGAAAGCCCCCATCCCCCCAAACCCCCACGCGTTTTTGGGATTGAGAAGGGTTCCGTGGGCTCCGGGGGGCTGGGGCGGGGGGAGGAGCCATCACGAGGCACCTTCCTCCTGCATTTGGCAGCAAAGGCGGGGAGCCCGCTCACTTGGGGGCATGTGCGTTTGGAGCTGCTGGCCCTTGTGAGAGGTCCTCGTTCCAGGATCCGGGCGGCACCTGGAACATTCTCCCTGGGATCAGGCACGGTCCTACGTGTCCCTTCCAGGCCAGAGAGCCTCCGTGTCCGTGAAGCCCCCTTGTTAATGGCACCGATGGGGGCAGATGGTCCCCTCTTGGCCACCAGGTCCGCCAGAGTCAATTCCCAAGCTGCCATCCGCCGTCCCTCCTGGTGGGATCTCACAGAAACCCTGTCCACGCTCCGGGTGGTGAGTTCTCATCAGACACGGTCTTGGAAAGAAACAGAAGGGAGAGCGTCACGGAGCACTGTGACTGCTTCCCTCCTCTTGGGGGCGGGCGGCTGCTTTCTCAGGACATAGGATGGTGGAAACGAAGGACCGGAAACTCGGAAAACCCACAAACAGTGTCCTTTGCCTGACAGGCGGGCCCTGGTGTTTTGGCAAGTTGTGTTCTGCAGTTGTCTGACTGGCTTGCATGGCCTCAGGAGCACCGGTGTGACCAGGCTCAGCCGGGCCCAGCCTCCCCAGGACAAGCGTGGCTCACAAGGGTGCAGACGGGGCTCAGAGAGGGGTGGCCGTCTGCCGAAAGTGTCCAGTGCGGGCCAGCCCGCCTACGAGCCCCACTGCCCTTTGCAGCCCGAGGCACCTGCCACTTGGGAAACGTCCACCTGTGTGTGGACGCTTTTCCCAAACTGGGTGGGAATCACTCGATCTTTGCTCCTGGGACAGTGGGCTGCCTGCTTCTACCAGGAGACCCTGAGTAACTGTTCTGTGACAAAGGGCTTAGCGTCCGGACTCCCTTGAGACCCCCGTGGGGGTGGGGTGGGAAGGGTAGGGAGGAGGGGGCCCAGGGAGAAGGGATGAAGTTTGGCAGATGTGCCTGGGGGTCATCATCAGCTTTCGTGGATGTCTGGAGAATTCTGTAACCCAATGTCAGTCAGCAAGCGTATACAAGGATAGGATTGCATGCCAAAGGGGAAAGTGTGACACGCCTTCTCTAGGGGCTCATCGTGTTTCTGAAAATGTCCACATCCAGCTCCCCGTCATCGAGGATAGCTCGTGCCAGAGGCCAACGCTGACAAAGCCACCGCCCAGCCATCCGCTCACGTGAACCTGCACCTGCTGTCCACGGGCCCCCTTCCCTCTTGGCAAACTCACCGAAGAGAACGTCTGCTCTGGCCTTGCAGCCCAGCTCCTGTTGGAACAAACCGGAAACACTCAGGGCAGGTAGCAGGGGTAGAGAGGCGTTGCTCTAGAGTCCCCAGTGGCCCTGGGTGCCACGCACAGCAGGGACAGACTCACAGGGGGAGGGTCCCTCGGGCCACCTGGTTTTCCGGGAAGATGCTTTGTAAGACGTCTGTGCTCCGGACTCAAGGCGCCTCTCCAGGGCCTGGCCAGATCGGCAGTGGGCCATGGGCCGTGGGAAGTGTTTCTGGGATGAAGGCATTGGCAACAAACCAGAAACTCCAGCAGCACATGCAGACTTGCATCAGGGAACCAGCGCTCCCCGTGCCCCGACCCTCCCGGAAGACCCGGAAGATCCCCAACTCTGTCAGTATCTTGGGGGATGCCCACCAGGCCGAGCTGGGGAGACATCTCTTCCCTGTGCCCCCCACTCAGGGCCTTCCCTACTGACCCTGGTTGACATGGTTGTGACCGTGTTCATGTTCTGGGCTTTCCCCCCTCTTCTGTGAGTTCTGCTGCTTTGTTTTGTAGGGTCAACACCCAGCCTTTCTCAATCTTTCTAAACCCCTTTGAGTTTGGCCAGAGTTCAACAGCCTCGTCAGGACCAAAGGCGGCTTGGCCTCCATAGAAAAGGGCTCCGTCCTGACGTCTAAATTCAGAAGCTGGCACTCCCACCCCACACTGGGAGAAAGCCTCACACGGCGCCCTCGGCTCGGCTGTGTCAGAAATATGGAGCCCACGACATCAGGGGCCACGCCCAGGACCCACGTCCCAGAGTTGGGGGAGCCGCTAGAACTCGTGAGCGTGAACGCTATTAAAGCCGCACTTCGCAGGAAAGCGACGTCTTGAAGAACTTTTAACGGGTACCTGCGTGGATCCTGTGGGGGGCACCTGCTTCGGCACACCCAGCCTGTAGCCACGGCCACGGCCACGACCACGCCCAGCACGATGAGGGCGCTGAGGACCGCCCCTTGTTTCTTCGGGGCATCGGCTTGGCTCTCGGTGATGCCATATTCCGTTCCCATGACCGTTTCTACAGGAGAGGAAAATAACACAAGACTGAAAGGGTGGGGAGGAAAGGGGAGGGACCCCTTCCATCCTGAGCAGGAGAAAACCGAGGGAGGCACCGAGGCCTCAGAACTTCCCTGGCTTTGCTTTGTGATGCTTAAAATCTGC